ATGATTATTTTCTACTTTCAGGTACTTTAGATTGCCAATGAAATGCAATATAATAGCAAATAAAGGTCATAATATGTTGAAATTCAAATAGATTTGATCCTTAAGAAACGTATGCCGTTCAGTTTGTCCGAGTGGAGTTGCCATATGTTGACTTCATATGGCAACTCCATGAGCAGATCTGGTACCTACAGCAGCCGTCTGTTCAGTCCTTTGCTTTCTTAATACAAAGCACAGCTCTTTGAACTGGCCAAGTAGAACGGCAGATATTTTATTACATGCTGCAGTCCACCTGCTCAAACCAGGAGGTTCGTCTCACCTTATTGTGATTGATTGATTGATTTCACACAGGTAAGCTACGAGCTCACGCTCAAACAGCTGATGTAAAAAAAAACTTTTAAAAAGGCTGTTCGCCACAACAATGACTGACTGCTGCTGTGTCTCAGATGGCATCTGGCAAGGCTCCAGGAATAGATGGTGTGCCTTCAGACCTTTTTAAACATTTCTAGACCATCATGGGACAGGACCTTTAGGATGTTTTTACAGAGTGTTTTGTAAAAGAGATGCTTCCAGCATCCTGCAGGTGTGCAGTTCTTTCTTTGCTGCCTATGAAGGGAAATTTAACCCATTTAAAGAACTAGAGGCTAGTATGTCTTTTATGTACGGACTACAAGATTCTTTCAAAGGTCTTATTAAACAGATTGAAATTTGTTTTTGAATATTTAATTGGTGCAGATCAATCATTGAGTACCGGATAGGCCGGAAGGGCAGAAGCAGGCAGGGAATTTATGACTAGAAACCCCAATTTGAAAAATAAATAAAATAAAAAACATTACCACGGTCAAACTTAAAAATGAAAAAAGTGCACCTAAAAAATTATTTTTTTGTTGGGTAGAAAAGCCGAGCGTACAGCCGTGCTCTTGAAAGAGAAAAAGGGAAGATTAATCAACAATCCTGTGATTACTACAGATGTTTGAAGATAATAAACCACCAATACTGGAACTATAGTTATTAAAGGTTCACTTTAATATAAAAATAGCTAGAATAAACTCATCCCCTGTTCACATTCGGTAACTTGACAGTTTCTGCCTTGATGCCTGTAGTAGCACAATTACTGCCAAAGTAACCAAAACCTTCAAAAAGTGATATTAAACCTCCAAATTGAAAGATACTTCACTGTAGGCAGAGATAAAGAATATGTTTCAAACCACTAAAGGTTACAGAGCAGCATTCAGACCCCAGACCATAATCAGATCAGATCTAAGTTTCCCACAAACAAATAAAATCCAAGGCAGCATGAATACTTTAAAATGATCTGGACACTCTCTGCTTTTAATGACCAAAAATTACCTCTGGCTCTGAGTTCACACTAAAGGACGCTTCCTTGTCCTCAAATACATCATCTAGCAGCCAACATCCCTCAGAGAAGCATCCATTACAATGGGAAATCAATGCAGAATCTTCTTTCTGATCATTTCTTATCCAGGTGACCCCACTTCGTTAAAAGAGGAAACAATGAAAAAATCTCTCACATTCTGGAATCTAAAACATAATTTGCATGATCAGTGGATTTAGAAAATTTATATCACCAGTTAATCTAGATCCACTGAACAAAACACAGATCTTTCCTGACAAGAGATCACTCTGAGCAAACACTTTATAAGGTTTATGTATTCAATAACTAGAAAACATGACAGCAACTTTAACAGAACTGTAATCGTAGTCAGACCAGAGAGGCTGCACAGAAAGGACGGCACCATTAGTTTCTCTTAATCAGAGTTAGAAGCAACAAGTAACCGTTAAAGAAACGTTTTATAAAACTTCAGTATAGCTTCACAGTCTGCCACATCATCACATCATTACGTTTGTAAATGAAGAGACATCCCTGGCTACAGACATATGAAAATAAAACAATATTTTAAGATCAATTCTGAACACTCAGTGAGAGATATCTGACTGTGATTATCCTCTCTGTCTTCGATCCCATTACATTTACCAATCTTTTCCTAATTAGATAAACAGTTTGGAACAACATGAGTCTTTACATTAACAGGCAGGTATTATTAGGCACATATATGAACCATAAAAATGATCCTAACATAGCTAAATAAGTATGGGGAATTATTGAGAACAGAGAAGCGACAGGCAGGATAATGTTAAAATATAAGAATTAAAAGACATACATTTCCTTTCCTTCCTCCTATTCACATTTTATGATGAGTTTGCTTATCGTTTTGTCGTGGATATCCTCCCAACGACGTAAAAATTTATGTCAAGTCTTATAAAAATTCAAAGTTCTTAAAAAGCAGTTGAAAAGTCTTCAAACAATGGTCAAAAAACAGGCAGAGGCAGCTGGGTCACGGTCCAGTGTGGTTTATTGCAACAACACAAGTCCACCACATGAGATGTTCACCGGTCAACACCTGACTACATGCAGAGACAGTCCCGCTTAAAATCATTCCCTGGGGCTCGGGGGCTCCTCCCCGAGCCTCTCCTATTTTTACGTAATTTTAGGCAATTTTCCACGGGTATCTTTAATATCTTTTTATCTACCGGTGGAAACCCCCCAAAGTACAATTTTTATATATTTTAATCAAAGCCTTGCCCCTTTGAAGGCCATGGTGATACACATTGTAGTTTAATTAAAAACTTCACATATCAGCATAGCTTTGATGTTTATCATTGATATGTCAAAACAACGTTTCATTAAAACATCACACAGCGGCATAACTTTTGTTGTTTAAAATTTCATTAAAACATCACACAGCGGCATAACTTTGTTGTTTGACCACTAAAACATCACACAGCGGCATAACTTTGTTGTTTGACCACTAAAACATCACACAGCGGCATAACTTTGTTGTTTGACCACTAAAACATCACACAGCGGCAGAGCTTTGTTGTTTAACCTTGACATGTCAAAATAACTCATCCTTGGGTTTTTCCCAATGCGTACTATCTTATCTCATCCTTCGGGCTGCCTTACACACATGATTTTACTTATTTTTAGATATATGTTGAAGCACACCATGTAACCATTATAACATGAATATATTTATTGTGAGACATTTATCCACTATATTCTATTCATGGTGCAATATTAATTCACTACAGTTTCCTCCCACTGTGTCAGCGAGGCTCACAGTAAACAAAAAGTACTTTCAAATGTGTTAAAAACCTTAATGATTTAAAGTTTTCTCAGGATGGAAATACAATAATGTGTCTCCATTGAGAAACAGAAGGGAATATGAAATCACAGGTAATTTTATGAACATGGTGGTTACAGACCATGGCAGTGTCATAACAGCCACAAAAAGCAATGAGAAGGATAATTAGAAATCCCAATTTACAGCACTGTAATCCTAATTGATGGATTTAAACATCATCCCAGGTGTTGGAGTGTTTTACAGTCCATATTCTTCCATATCCACCTGGATCCCAACTTTCAGGACTCTGCAGACTCAGATGCTTTTAGATGCTGCCTGCTCACAATGAGTCTTTTGATCACAAAACTTCCCACTATTCACATCCATCAAACACGTGTTTAAGAGATCTGAGGCCAGAAACAAACAAATTTATTCTGACTCGTTTGTTTGTTCGTTTTAATCGGACAACCCTGCAGCCACCTAATCTCTCCTATCATCTGTGTTATAGACCCCGTTGGTCACAATTTAATCTGATTGTTTCTCTATTTCTGCCTTTTGTTCTACAGGCTGCATAAACAGTCAGTTCTAGAGGAGAAGCTGATTTCCAACCTTTATGCTGTTTTTAGATTAAAAATGTTCTGCTTGGATATCAAACCACCGTGGTGTGGGTTAGGGGACGTTGATGATGCAGAAACCTCCTTGTTCACATGGTGCAGCTGAAACCAGTTCAGAAACAGCCTGTTATGGTCTCATCACTAAAGCTCCATTTCTGCAGCAAACACTATGATAATACTGTGAATGACAGAGATTTGGGATCTGCTGACAGACCAGGATCTTTGCAGACTGATGTTAGACTGATTCACAGAGAATGGAAGATAGTGAGAGATGTTTCCTTTACTGGGAAAGTATTAACGTTCATTTCTTGATCTTCAATCATGCTGGTTAAAAGCAGAAACTTCTCATTGACAGTAATGTTCCTGTAATGTTAAGGTGATTTCTGTGTCACCAGTTGATCTGCTTTCTGATCAGCATTAATGTTCCCAACATGAGATCCAGCAGCTGCTGATGCTGCTTTGAGATCATTAGTGATTCAAACACATTCTTCCTCAGCGGACACTGAAATATCAGTCAACTTAGATTTGGGACAATATTTTGTAAACGGGTTTATTTCATTGAAGCATTTTTAGACCGGCATCGATGCAGCCCCCTTTCTATAGTAAACATCAGCAGTTTCCAGCTGCAACAACCAGCTAATCTATCACACTCAAAGCTTTAGCTTAGCATCTAGATCTCCTCTAATCAATTTTCCAATCAGATGAGGCTAAAATCCACAGTGTGCATCATCAGGGAATCGTTTCTATCAGGTGTTTCCTACCTATCCGGTCCAGCAGTAGATGTTGATCGTCCATCTTTTCTTCTTTAAACTCCACCTCTTTTCCTTTAAATTCCGTGAATGTTTCTTCAGCAGGAGTTAACTGCTCGGTGATAAACTCTCCTTGAAGCTGGACTGAAGACATTCTCGCTGCAAACACTCCCAGATTATCAGCCTCTCTACAATGACTCCACACACAAGCTAAGCTAATCCTGCTAATGCTACCAGTGACGTACCTTCCTCTTCTTCTTCCTGTTTTTTTACTGGCGGGTGACATCTAACGTTAAGATGTATTATCGCCATCTACTGTCCTGGACCAGATAATCTCACTTTAATCTAAATTCTTATAAATAATCCGGTTTCCTTCAAAAAAAAATTTAAAACTGCTTTATTTGTTTTATGATGAACTAATATTTATTATTTCCTAATGTCTTGTTTCAGCTTCTCTCTACTTACTGTATACTTTTAACAATCGGTCTGTGACAGTGTACGTCACTTCCGCAAAAGCGCAATTCATTTAGGGTAGTTAGCGCCATTTCTGTGGTGAAGAGACAGCAGCAACGAAGAAAAGAAAACAAACAGAGAGCAGACGTGTTCTAGTTGCTTCTTTGGAAATAATGGTACACTGGTGCTGCGTCAAAGGATGCAATAGTAATTCTAAACAGAAAACAGCAGATGCGGCCTTACGGTTTATCGTATTCCCCACTTGGAAAAAAAAATACGGACCGCAGACAGAGGACTTAACAAAGAGGCGTCGGGCTCCGTGGGTCGCTGCTGTAAGAAGGAAAGACATCACGTTTCATAAAATATCTCCTCATGTTCGTGTTTGCTCTCAGCATTTTCACAAAGGTAAGTCCTTATAAATATACACTAATAGAAATCAACACGCTGAAATGGTTTGCTTATAAAGTTGCAGGAGTTCATGTAAACCTACTGAAACATGCTGTGGAAGAGAAGCGGAAAGTGATGTTTGTTTTATATCTTTTTTAGACCGCTAAAATTTAATAAATAATGCATTATCTGTATATAATCATTTACACAATCTGCAATACAAATATATTTGTTTTATGAATAAATATATATAAATACAGTGTACATATAAAAACACTGTACATAAAAAAACACTGTACATACCCACTCATCAGCCAACTCATTGCATTTCTTCATCCTGTGCAATCTACTTAAGTTTATTTATTATAATCCTTTGTTCGTCCTGTAAGCTTTTCAGTTTATTTATTTACCTCTGGCCTTACTAGTCCGATGTACTTGTGCTGTTTCGGTATAGCAAATTTCCCCACTGTGGGAAACATAAGCATATCTTATTTTATAACTCATCTAATCTAATGGGCTCTGTTATTAAGGTGCTTTATATAGTGTTTTGGATAGATGTGTAAAACACTCAACCTTTCATCTACTTTGCAGGTCAACCCGCATATGAGATGATGGAGACTGACCCAGACTGGGCTCCATCCCTGCATCTGGGCCACACTGACATCAGACCAACAGACACAGAACGCTCTTTAAGACGTGGTTATCGGGAACAGCTGAAAAAGAATGCCCTGCAAGCAACTGAAACGGGGCTCCATCAGGCTGATGAAAGGACAGGAAGGACAGACAGAATGTAACCTGTGTGTGCTCAGGTGTGCAGAGATGAACCGTCTTTTGGAAGAAAACAGAGAGCTGCGGCGTGAACTTGATGAGCTACAGATCTCTGATTGCTTCTTTGGAGACAGTAATGAAAAAGTCAAGTACTATACGGGTCTACCAAACTTGGCAACCTTCATGGCCTCTCATGTCTGCTCAAAATAAAATTCTCAGTCCATTTCAAATGCTTCTGTTAACCTTCATGCGTCTGAGATTGGATCTGCCCTCACAACACCTTGCTTATCTCTTCCGTGTTTCACCAAAGACTGTGTACAGAACATTCAATGAAATGCTGTCATTTTTATATGCAAATCTAAAGCGTGCAATTGTGTGGCCAGATAGAGACACCTTGCACAAAATTATGCCTCATCAGTTTGTGGATGCCTTTGGACATAGAGTCACAGTGATTGACTGTTTTGAAATTTTCACAGAGAAACCAGCTAATAAATGAATGCAAGATCAAGTACTGTTTCAACTTTATTCTTCTTTTTTTATTCTTCTTTTCACACAAAAAGAATTTTGCTTTTTTTAAAGTTACTTTTGAAAAATAACAGCAAAACAAATATAAGTTTCACCATCACTTCAAATATTAACAATGTTTCTGAGGTTGTAAAAATGTGTGTACAATAAAGAGTGGATTTGAAATTTGAAACAAGTGTTGTTATTATCTTTTCAATCAAGCAGAGAATTTATGAAAATGCAATACAAAATCTCAAATACATAAATAATGCAGAACAGTGCAAAGCTTCAAATGTTTTACTTTTTCTTCCTCCCTCGTATATAGCAGATTGCTCTTTAGATTAAATTAGAAGATTTTCATTTTCCCAGGACTTGTTTTCACTGTGGTCTGTGGTCTTCAGTAGAGATATTACCTAACAGGTGATATCTGTGAAGAAGACTGCAGATCCCAGTGAAAACAGGCCTGGATAAAGTGAACAGCAAATACAGTGTGCAACTTATCAATGTGCAAAAATTGTGACAAGTTTTTTCGTTCAGCCTGATGAGCAGCACAAACTGCTCTAATAACTGCAGCTATCTGTGCAACTGCCCACAACATCTGCCTTGTCACTATAATAATAATATATAATATCGTTCCCTAGCAGCTTTAGAAAGTTTGTCTGGGTAGGGTATCCGTTCAGTTTTCTTGTTCTTTTCCATTTAACTGATAATCCTCACTGCTGGCAGCGCTCTCCTCTTGTTTTACTGCTGTTTTGTTTTTCTTCCGCTCACCACAAAAATGGCGCTAGGGGGCGTGTCAGTCACGTGTCTGACAAAGACCGATTAAGTATTACATGTTCTACTGTTTCCATATCCCTACCACACTCACAACTACCAATTGGATATTTACCTATCAAGTGTAAAGTTTTATTTAATCCAGTATGTCCAAGCAGCAATCTTGTCATTACTACTTGTTCTTTCTGATTTTTTCCTATAATTTCCATATTTCCTACTATTCTTTTGTAAATAAAATAAATGACGACCTCTAGGTTTTTCTCAATTTTTACCACTTAGAATTAATTTTGCTCTTAATGATTGATTTTATTTCTGATTTACAGTAAGCTATTTCCATACTCTACTTTGTTTTAAAGACGTCTTAGCAAAATGATCTTCCATATCATTCCATTCTATAGCTTTATGAGCAGGTTTCCATATAAACCTAATCTCTATTTGAATTTGGGTCAATTTCATATACTAACTCCATGCGACTTTCAGATGAAACATTTAAAATAGACATTAATGATGATAATGAATTTGAACATATAAGAACTTTTTCAATTTTATTTTGCTCTACCCACTGTAAGGCCAGAAGTATGGCTAACATTTCCATTGTATACACAGCTAAATGATCAGATGATCTTTGTTTCCAAAATACACAAAGTTCTGGAATAAGCAAATGCTGTTTTATTTGAAACTGAATCTTTTCAGCCATCTGTAAAAGTAATTGTGAAGGATTTATACCTACTCATAATTCTGTCATTTACAAAATGTACCCAGTTATTATCTTTATTAGTCTGCATTTCTTTATAAACCACTAGAGCTACATTTGCATGTGGAAACAGTATCTCTTTCCCTGTATGCCTATTTCCCTAACGAATATATCTGCTGCCCATGCAAAACGGTCCATTTTAACTTTTCCACTCTCCCATCAAGATTCTAAGGGCAGGATCTATCAAAGGTTTGCGTGTATAAAAACGTGAGCTATTTCACTGCGCACGCTAAAAAAATGTACAAACTGATATATCAACAGCGTGCTAAAAGGATTTGGTCTTTAAAGGGATAGTTCGGTATTTTTGACATGAATCTGTATGGCATCCCCATCACCAGTGTCATGCAATCACACTGACTTACCCCTGGCAGCGTCCTGTGAGCAGAGTTCTCGTCCAGTTTTGGTCAAGCCAAAAGTAGTCCGGCTGGTTTGCTAGACCCAGCGAAATAAAACGTTTCTCTTCCCAAAACATTATGTGTTCAAAAGAGTGATATTTTTGCATCCCAAAAACGTTGTAGTGGAAAAAGTCACACGTCGTTATCACTTGGTCCTATTTTCTCTCTGTTCGTATCAGTGCGCGCCGTCATTCAGGCAGCGAGCTCAACAACAGCCTAGTAGGCCCTAGCTGTCTGAATGACGGCGCGCACTGATACGAACAGAGAGAAAATAGGACCAAGTGATAACGACGTGTGACTTTTTCCACTACAACGTTTTTGGGATGCAAAAATATCACTCTTTTGAACACATAATGTTTTGGGAAGAGAAACGTTTTATTTCGCTGGGTCTAGCAAACCTGCCGGACTACTTTTGGCTTGACCAAAACTGGACGAGAACTCTGCTCACAGGACGCTGCCAGGGGTAAGTCAGTGTGATTGCATGACACTGGTGATGGGGATGCCATACAGATTCATGTCAAAAATACCGAACTATCCCTTTAAAATGTGCTAAATAGCGCCTCTTATCTATTTAGTACTTTTTCTGCTATGAATATGCGTTTACACGCAAAAGTGCGTCTTGTGGGAGAACATGTAAATATATTAATTTAGCACTCGCAAAGTGATTTATCAAACCTGAAAGCAATTTTGCTAACGGTATCTGACTATATTTAACACGTTTCAAAAGAAGGTGCAAATGGTCTGTATGCGTAATTGCGCACACATGGCAGCGGTTATCGTCGCAAGAAGGAGACATGGAAATGAAGCAAGGAGACGCAGAAAACGCATTTTTTCACTCCGTGTGAATATTTTTGGAATGAGGGAGGAAACGATCATCAAAACATATCGTTTATCCAGCATTGCCATTTTGAAGCTGCAATTCCAGTGATTTGCTCCTCACAGAGCGTCAGCTGTACTTGTTCCTCAATGCTGGTCATAGGCATCTTATCTACTGTGCCCCCTCCTGTTTTGTTCGTAGATGTTTTGTTATATGCCTGTTTTTCTTTGGTTCGCCTTCTAATATCCTGGTATCTTCTTTTTACTTCATCCACTGTTCGCAAGGACAGCATTTACTTTATTACAGATTTGTTCACATATAGCGTTCCTCTGTGTGACAGTCACACTTCTTTGCTGTAGCTCACTTAAATGTTTGTTGGCTTCATCCACCAACACCTCCATTTCCATGGGGTCGAATTTCCTTTTGCGCTTTCTGCTATCCAAACTCGCCATGCCGCAAACCACAAAACGCGCAAAACCATCATTTAAATAGGGCGTCTCCAACAGTTTTGCACCTGCCACCAGTTACGCAATCGCTCTTGTTAAATCACCCGCAAACCATGGTTCAGCCCCTCGCGCAAAATTCCAGTTTGCGAGCGCAAATTACTGCATGCAAAATTGGTTCTTGATAAATCCGGCCCTAAGACTCTTACTGCATGATTATTCTGCTTGTGTCCCTGAAAATTCACCCAATAATTCAACATTACTTGCTTTTGTCTTAAATATAAAGGAATCTCCCCCATTTCTAGCTGGACTGCCAAAGATGGAGACGTCTTCATGGCTTCACAACATAGTCTCACAGCTTTATTATGAATTATCTCTCTTTTACTAATCACTGTTTTTGCAGCCTGTCTATAAACTACACATCCGTAATCCAACACCGATCTAATTAAGCCAACATAAATCTTTTTTTTATTTATCATTTAACTTTTTATTAGTATTTTTTACTTTTTTTTTTTTTTTTACATATACAGTGCAGATGAACATTTCACATTAAACTTAATATAACATAACACTTTCACTTGGGAGCTATTCCTCTATTTGACCTTTGTCCCGGCTAGCTTATCTAGTTCTTTATCTTTGCCGCTGTCTTTTGTCCTGAATGTTGTCCATTTCTTCCACTTTTCTTCTATTTGAATTTGTTGAAGACTTAGACGATGTGTCAGTTTTTCCATGGTGTAGATTTCTTCTATTATTCCAGTCTATTGTTCTTGACAAGGGGGGTCTGCCTGTCCCCATTTCCTCATAATTGCTTTTTTGGTAGCTATTAACACTATCTTAATTAGATACATGTCTATTACCCTTGCGTTGATGTTGTTCTAATTGCAAAGATATATGACCACACTACTCATAGGAATATATCCCAGAATCTTCTTTACAGGTTCATGTACATTTTTCCAAAAGTGAACAATATAGGACAGTTCCAAAATATGTGAGAGTGGTCGGCTTTCATTGATCCACAATTCCGCCAACACCCCATGTTAATATTATATTTATTCTTGACTTTAGGCGTGATGAAACATCGAATTAGATTTTTCCATGTGAACTCCCTCCATATCCATGAATTGGTGGATGTCTGATGTGTTTTCCACATTTCTAACCAATTTTCATCTGAAATTGTCGTGTTGAGCTCTGATTCCCACTTTTCTTTTATATACTTAGTAGAATGTTTATTCATCATCAGTTTTTGATATAGAGCAGAAATTATTTTAATTTTTGTTCTACTGAATGATAAAAAAATACATGAGTCAATTAGTTGTATAAAATAGGCGATAGTTATTTTCAATCTTAGCAGGTAAATAGAACATCTACAGAATCAAGAACAAAACTATTAGAATTAGTCCAAAGTAGGCTTGTCCCGATCCGATCCACGTATCGGAACGCCGATATTGGCAAAAAAA